AACGTTGGCATACCATTTCTCCACCTGAACACGATGGCCAAGGCAATCCACCTCTCCTCCCCGCACTCGAAAGAAAACAAGTGGAAAGGACGTGATTACCGACTAAATCGCGTCTGACCCATGACCTGTCGATTTTTTTTTGTTTGTTGCATATTTAATATTGTTCACTTGTTACTATATTAATATCTTTATTTTATGTATGCGCCTCTCCCCCTCTGTAATGCCTTCGGGCCCTGCCTGTATTTTCAATAAATAAATAAAAAATAAATGAATAAATAAATAAATAAATATTACTCTAAATTTTTTTTTGTTGTTGTTTATTCGCGTAAAATTTATTTTTCGACACGCGTGTCCGAACCAGACTGTTTGAAAATGCTCAGAGTCCAAAGCAATGAAAATGCTCAGAGCCCAAAGGAAACACAGCTATCAATAACAAGCATAAAAAAAAAAAAAAAAAAACTTTTGAACGAAGATCACAAGAGCAGCTTTGAAGAATACAACACACATTTCGAAGCCACGAGCACAAGTTACACAGGGCGAAAGCAAACTCCGAAGTGAGGATCTCAGAAGCAGAAGTATTACAAGACAAAACACCTCTACGCTGGGCTCTATAAACAATAGTATCGTTACAGCGTTCAAGTTCAATTGCAATTTGGTGATTCCCGACCATGGTTGAAACTATAAACTGTGCCGCGGAGCCGACCAGCATCGGCCGAAACATAGAGGGCCGAAAGACGCTCGGAAACCCGCAGAGAAAGTAAAAACATAAAATAATGCTTCACTAAACGCGCGCGTGCACGACTTCGCGGTACCGCTCAATTTCGTCGATACGTGCTCCTACAACGTTTCGTCGACTTTGTTTTGTTTCGTTCACCACGGGGATTGCATTATTGGTTTAATTTCGTTCGCCGCAAACCTACCTCAACTAAAGCGGACTTGCCCAGGCGACTCTGATACGCCACAAATGAATTGGCGATCGCCGCTTTCAAACCGTCCGCACTACGCGCTGAAACCCTTCGCTCCGCTCGGAGACACTTTAATATTGATCGAGAACATGTTTATTTACGCATATCGGATACGACCATACATTTCGCCTAAGAGCGTAAGCGCGAAACTTTTCTCTCGAGGCGCGAACTCGCATCAGGCCTCATGCGAACCGCAACGGTTTAGTCAAGCTCGCATCGCCTTGGTCGCCGAGCGAGGCGATATGTGCGGAAAGACGCTTCCGATGAAGCGTCGCAAGGTTGGTCGATGAAACGAACACGAATACTTTTCGATGAACCTAAGTGGCATTAAAACGCTGCTGCGTCGACGAAACCATCTGCCGGTGTTACATCGTTTGTTTGATGAACTGATTGCCGCCGGGTCTAGTTTTGAAGTGCTAGGCCTCGTTTGCACGCTAACATGGACGAGTACGAGCCCGACCGCGTCAGAGAGCGAGCGCCTATCGTACAGGGTAACCCTGCGACTTTATGAAGTACGTTCTGAAATGACTATAACATTTCTGCTGCTCTACAAGTAGCCAAAGCCATCAAAACTCACCGTCCAATCGGTTGCCACTCCGACTGCATCCGACGAGGCTTCCACCGCACCGCCACAGGTCAACTGGGTCAACCGTCACCTCCAGTTCAAACTCGGGCGCGCGCGCGGCAGTCGGAGAGTAGGTAGCCTCGTCTCCGGCGCCTCCGCGTCGCTCGGATTCCGTTCTCATGTTTTCCGCGGCCGGAAACATTCACCGAATATGCGCGTGTAGTCACAATTTCTAAATCCCGGGGCCAAAATCTTGTTTTGCCAAGGCTTCTTTCCAAAATAGCTACTCGAGTGATGCTTCGTCCACTTCATCGAAGGCCTGCGGCAGCCATTATTGGCGAGGGGACTAAAGTATTCGTTAGGGGATCAACTCCAGCGGGAGCAACGAAATGCCCGCGGGACGAACTGCTCGAGTTACCGCTTCTGAATAGAGGGCGCTAGGGTCGCGGGGATGAAAGATGGCGATTGGTGCCTTTGCGCACCTTTTTTTTTAAGAGTGTAGCTCTCCTTGTCCGTGGTAACAAGTCCAGTCATGTCCAATACGGCGAACTACCCCGATGTTGAGTAGACGTGACAAAGGATGGAGGGACGTGTGAACCGACGAAGTAACGAGTTCGATTTGAAAGCCAAAATAACTGGCTGTGTTTTGGGCAATGGCAACAGTGAGAGCTCTCAAGTACTACTTCTCGTGTGCGAGTTATTTTTTTGTGGGATTCAGTTCAGTCTGGTACTTACGGCGGACCACCCCGATGTTTCACTTTACGCGAGAGAGGGCAGATTTCTAAATAAGAGCTGGAGTTTATCGAGGGTGCGACAAGTGACATAATTATTAAGACTTCCGACAACTACGGCATTTCATGCAATCCACCAAGAAATTATCACCGGAAAAGCTGTGTTCTGAGCGTCGAGAAATCTGACTACTGCTTAAAAAAACATTGTTATTTATTATTTGGAATTTTGAAGAACTTTATAAAGCGACGACATAATGGACTGCTGCTTAACAAGTTTTTTAATAACCATATGAATTCGATATTCAGTTTTACGTTTTACGAAGTGTGTGCCCGCTTATATCAAGATGAAAAAGGGTTAGAATTTTGTTTGTGCATTTTAAAAGTTAGGTCACTATTTTTTCGTAATAGGAAGGTGTCGCCAAATCGTGCTCGCGCAAGTGCTTTATTTTATGTTTTGACTTTATCTGAGAGTTCGTTCGTCTCCACGGGACGGCCCGTGTTTTAACTGGAGTCGGGGGGCCCCAAATGGGAGCGAACGTGAATGGTGTAACGCTGCACTTAGTTCTTAGAACCCCGCGTCTGAGATAATCTGATTTATGCATGTCTGCTTTTGGGATCTTTACTTTGGAGGTGGTTTTCCTCCGCGTATAATACCCCTGTCAAACGGGCAAATTTAGTGCACTTAATCCAAGTGACCTTCGCCATTAGTGGCACTTCTGTTGTGTGCCACACGGTGTCTTCTTGAGGAACACACTTACCTTCTAGTGAGTTTGACGAACTCACTTCACTCGATCGAGTGCGTTGCATCGATAGGAGTGTTTCAAGAGTAAAACCTAACAACACAGAAACCAAAAACGTGGCGTAAATTTTATTTTATAAAGAATAGAAGAAGACGAAGAGGGGGCCACGCGGCTCAGCCGCGCCTCGCATGGGCTTCTGCTTCTAAGTCCGCTTTTGGATGACCAGGACCATCTACGTTCCCCAGACAGTCACCAAGGGCTTCCTAACGTCACGAGCTGTACGCTGATACCACCCAAGCGGACCTCGGAGTGACTGTTTGGACGAAATCGCCACCCACAGCTCTACCAAGTCGGTAGCCATATCGCTAGGCTTCGCCCCGATAGGCATCGCCACCGACTTTCCGCCGGGGCTCCCGGCTAGCAAAGCCCAAGCCGCCACCATGGCCAAGTCCGCTGACAACGCCATGGAGTTCGACGCCCAGAGCGGCCGGACCCTAGTACCACCCGGCCACTGGCAGCAAATTCTACGCGAACGTCGCAGTCTAAAGACCCCACCAGCAAACCCGCCGCGGCCCTCAGAGCCACGTCACTCTACAAACCGTCCGCCTGGCACGCCAGTACCCCGACTACCCGTCTCCGACTACAAGGTCGTCTTTCGGCCACGAACAGGACTACGAGTAGCTGCCTGGAATGACCGCCAACTCGCACAGAGCTTACAACAGGCAAGCAAATACCCGAACACATTTTCTACGCTCGGGTCACCATGCAAATTCAAGCCTCGCAAAATTTAATCGTTGCGGGCACGCCCGAAGAAAACTGTGGGTTCGCGTTGAGCGAAATCTTCACGATCCAACTGGGGGCAGCGACCCATGAAGTTCTACCTTATCTCAAACCGCTCCCGGGGACAAGACGTGGGGTGATCCACGGTCTGGACCCGGGCACCACCACGGACCAACTCCCTCACATCCTGGCATACAACGGCGCACGTATATTACATGCCCGCATGCTGGGCAACTCCACATCGGCAGTGGTCACGTTTGGAGGAATCAATGTACCATTCTAAATCAAAGCGTACGGACTTTTCACTCGCTGCCGACCATACCGACAAACAGTGCACTGCTGCTCCCTCTGTGGGGAGCTCGGACAAAGGCAGGGCATCTGTCCAAATCCCAACACGACAATGTGCGCTCAGTGCCACACAAGGGATCCCACACCAGACCACGACTGCACCCCTAAGGGCCAACTCTGCGGCCTGGCCCACCCCACGGCTAGCAAGGATTGCCGAAAAATCTGCGACCACCGCCTCCGCCACTGCGAGACCGGGAACGAGCTCTCACCTCACAGCGGTGGCAACAACAACCCTCCTCGAATTCCCAGCCTCCTGAGCAACGACCATTTCTACCGAACCAGCCGAACCAACAGCAGGTGAGCTGGTCAACCATCGTTGCTCCTCCGCCTACTGCTCATGACCAATTCCCCCTACTCCCCACCCGTCCCGCCCCAACTCCCGACCCCTGCATCCAAACCCTCCAACAAGAAAACACGCTCGTCAAACAGCAGCTAGAAGCTACGAATAAACGTACAACTACCCTCGAACAACGTATCGAGCAACTTCTCATGCAAGTAGAGCTGTTACTCCAGCACCAAGTTCAACGTCCTCAAGACCCGACCCCGGAGAGGGACCCCGATGCCACACCACCCCTCACGCAAATGGTGCTGCCAGCCCACCCCGAAATTCAGCGCCCTCAAGGCCCGACCCTTGATAGGGACCCCGAGGCCATACCACTTACCTCTCGCGCCCCTACGCCCGTTCCGACAAATATTAGCCGCCTTGAGCGCATCATCTACGAGATGGGCGAACGCCTCAACAGCCGCTTGATCGACCTCGATCAGCGCATCCACGCCATCGAAGAAGCAAAGCGACAGGCGCGCAAAAAGCCCACACAGTGCACCTTACCCCGCACCTCCGGCGACACGTCCCCTCCCCTCCAAATTGATGATGACTAACCCCCCCATTGCCCAAGAACTCATCCGCACCCCAACCCCGCTGACCGTATGGCAGTGGAACTGTCGCTCGTTTCGCAACAAGAAACCATCGCTCACTCTGCGCGCCCTTCAACACTCGCCAGACCTCATCGCCCTTCAAGAAACGAATACGGACAACGTGTCGCTTCGGGGTTACACGACATATGCCACTGATCCAACATCCCGAACAGCCGTCCTTGTTCAAGCCACCCAAACCGCCCAAAGGCACACTCTACCTACAACAATAGATTGTACTTTCGTCGAGCTCCTACCACGTAAAAAGACAGAAGCCAGCCTGTACGTCCTTAACATCTACAGTCCTCTAACACAGCCTCTCCCGGCGATCGACCGCCTTTTACGAATCGTCCGCCAACGTACCAGGGGCCAAAAACTCGTGGTCCTCGGGGACTTCAATGCCCAGCATGCGGCCTGGGGCTACCCCAGAAACAACAAAAAGGGTACAAGCTTACACGAAGCTACTCTACAAAATCAACTCTGCCTATGTAACTCCCTCCACATTCCCACTAAAATTGGCAACAGCGTCTCGCAGGATACGACCCCCGACCTGACGTTTACGTACAACATCAAACAGGCTACGTGGTCGCGCCTGGACGAAACTCTGGGCAGTGACCATTACATAATACAGCTCCAAATCCCACACCAAAGGGCCAGGAGCCAAAAAATTGGCACTGCACGCATCGCCAATTGGAAAAATTTCCGAGAAGCAACTCCCACCGGTCCCATCATAAGCCTCGAGGATTGGACTGCCCAGCTCCTTGAGAAGGCACGGGAAAGCACCAAGGAACTTTCCCTTACGCAGGACAATCCCGCCATCGACGCCCATCTCCTCCACCTCTGGGACGCTCGCAGCGGGCTACTCAGACGGTGGAGGAAAAACAAGACAAACCGCAAACTGAAGACCCGCATTGCAAAACTAACGGCAGAAGCGGAAGCATACGCCCTCCAACTTAGCCAGTTAAACTGGATGCAACTTTGTGACAAACTCCAAGGAACACCGGGGACCTGCCGAACTTGGCACCTGCTACGCTCCCTGTTGGGGACCGGCGAGTCCAAGGCGGTCACGACCCACCAACTCCGCCGATTAATTCACAACCACCCGGGTACTGAAGCCGATTTGTTAGATGAACTCAAACAACCTTTGGCGGTCCCCTCTCACGCCCAACCCAAGCGGGCACCAGACTACACGGGTGACCCCAACCCTGAAAAGGAATAACTGTTCTCACTTGCTGAAATCGAGGCGGCGGTGTACACTCTCACCCGCAACACCACCCCGGGTCGAGACAAAATACCCAACATGCTACTTCGAAACCTCGATCACCTTGCACTGGAAAATCTGCTAAACTATATCAACGACTGCTGGCTGGCGGGCTCCCTGCCTTCTCAGTGGAAACACGCCGACGTCACTTTTATTCCAAAACCCGGCAAACCCCTGAACCCCAAGAATCTCAGGCCCATCTCCCTCACTCCCTGCGTCGGCAAGCTGTTCGAACACATGGTCCACAACCGGCTGTCGCCTCACATTGAGGACAAAGGCTACTTCCCCGGCACAATGTACGGCTTTCGCCCGCATCTGTCCACCCACGACATACTGCTTCAGCTCAAGGAGGAAGTGCTGGACAGCTTGAATGAACACAGCAAGCGGTCGATCATGACCCTAGAAATTAAGGGGGCATTCGACAACATTTCACACCAGGCCATCCTTCAAGGCGTCGCATCCACTAACTGTGGCAAGCGCACATACAAATACTTCGCCTCATTTCTCCCCAACCGCATGGCAACAGTAGGTATAGGACACCTTCGATCCGACACGTTCACATCCATACCAAAAGGCACGCCACAAGGGTCGGTAGTGTCCCCCCTACTGTTTAACATCGCCATGAAGGACTTGCCACCCCTACTACAAGCCATCCCGAACCTACATCACGCCATCTACGCAGACGATCTAACACTCTGGGTCCCAACCAAAAATACCTGCAACCCAGGGGACTTGAATGCGCCCCAGAAAAATATGCCCTTCTAACGCTGTGCAAGAGAACATACAAGAAAAACAAAGACCCCATACCAGGTCCAGGGCTCACCATTGACTACCAACCCGTCCCCAACGTCCCACACCTTCGCATCTTGGGCCTCAATATACCAAAAGATGGCTCAGGCGCCCAGACCATCCTCTTCCTGCAGCGCACACTCACTCAACTCATGCACCTCATCCGCAGAATCTCTCATCGCCACTTTGGACTACAAGAAACGGACACTCTACGCATAATTCAAGCTATCCTCATCAGCCGAGTCACGTACGGGACACCGTACTTGGCCCTGAAATCCTCGGAGAAGGAGAAACTCAACGTTGCCATTCGCCAAGCCTATACAAGGCCACCCTGGGACTACCCCCAAAGACGGCCACACGAAAACTCCTGCAGCTCGGCGTCCATAATACATGGGAGGAAATACAAGAAGCCCATCAAGTCTCACAATTGACCCAACTCAAGCTCACATCGGTAGGAAGAGCTACGCTCAGCCGGCTCGGCTACACGCCTCCTGCAGAATGCGAGCAGAAGAAACGTATCCCTCTCGCCATCCGACATTCCATCAAAGTCGCACCTATCCCAAGAAACATGCATCCCATCTACAACAAGGCACGCCGAGAAGCCCGGATACGAGCCCTCAAAACCCAATACGAACACTCCTCGGATTCTTCTTTTACTCGCTACACGGATGCTTCCCCGTACCCCAAACAAGCAGCCCACGCCGTGAGCGTCACCGACGCCCATTGCAAAGAACTGACGACAGCTATAATCCTCACTACGTCTATCGAGACAGCAGAAGAGGTCGCCATTGCTTTGACGGCCACCCCTGGCAACGAGTATATCACTGTACTGACCGACTCTCAAGCCGCTTGCTGCAACTTCCTACTTGGCCGCATATCACCAGCGGCCCTCAAAGGTCTACAAAACGTACGTCAGCTCCCGGAACTCCATATCGCCTGGACCCCCGGACACGAGTCCTTCGAGGGAAAGGAAGCGGCACACGCCGCTGCCCGCGCTCATATACACCGGGCCGTTTCTCAAGAAGGCAACGACACGCAAACCTCATGCACTTTCAAACCCACTCCTCTTCAGAAATACGCGGACATCCTCGCTCATTACCGCCACGAATGACGACAGTTCCCGCCACCGCACCCCCCCCCCCCCCCTATCCAGAGCCGAAGCGACCGCTTTTCGTCGGCTACAAACTAACTCGTATTCCCACGGCACTCTACTGCACGCCATGTACCCCACCCTATATCCTGCTGCCTGCAACTTTTGCTTCCAGCCTGGCACCCTGTACCACATGGTCTGGGAGTGTCTGCAAACCCCATCCCTTGCCCCCAACCCTCACGCAACCTACGAGCAGTGGGTGGACCAGCTGACCGGTTCCGACCTCTCAGCCCAGCGTAGCCTGGTGGAGAGAGCCCGGAAAGCCAGCGCGGACCAGGGCTTCCCGGACTAGAGGAGGCCCCCCATCGGCGGGCGCCCAACCATCGGCATCTGAAGCTCTATTTATTGAAAGTTTATTCCTCCTCCTCCTTATAAAGAATAAGAAATTCGTGAAATAGAAGACATGAAGAAGAGTGGCATTGCGAAAAAATAGTGGAGTAGACTTGGAGTTTAGGCTGGGGGGGGGGGATCTGAAGCAAGATTAGCGCCTCGGTGAATTCATAGAAGACGACGACAAAAGTCAGTAATTTCAAGGCTATCTTGGTTAGCAGAGAAGGATAGAGCTTACTTTTGTTTCACCATGTAACTATTCGAGACAACACGATAATTATGATATAATTAGGCAGTTTCAGGGCCTCCTTGTAGATTTCCGTGAAACGAAGCGGAACGCCAAAGTTGGACATGCGCTTCTCTTTATCTTGGCTTGCGATGATCGATCAGAATCATTTAATTGGCGTACAAATCGTTCAATAATGTAACGTGGCTTTAAGTACAGCTTCTAAGCATCCGCTTTCGGGTTGAGCGGCGTCGGCGTAACCGCGCGTTGTATAATGGGATGTTTCCCAAAATAACGTCACACGTAACGTCACGAGGTTAAAATCTTCCCGCTAAATTTGGCGGTAAAAATTTTGCTAAGTTAAGCGGAAAAGTTTTCCGCTAAATATTTAGCGGGAAATTTAAGGAAAATTTTCCCCTAACTGGGGGGAGGGGGGGGGGGTACGGAAGAAAAGGAGGGGCATACCCTCCCCTTCGTACCCTTTCCTCCTCCCCCTCAAGAGATGCGCTCCAATTCGGCATTACAGAGAATCGTAAACGTATAAATTTTTTAACGTGCCTTTATTAAGGGGTATCGGGGGTCGAGTGGGCTAGCGCACACCAGATCGGAATGCGTGGAGAGAAAGCTCGCGCTGCAGAACCCAGTGATCCTTAGCTCAGCCCTGCCCGAAGAACACACTTTTGATAAAGTGAGGTCGGGGACCACACTACGCCCGCTCCAGTAGACCGAGTGTGTAATCTCGATAGCAGTGCTAAAGGAGTAAAAATAATAGAAGAAAGTAACGTTGCGGAAAATTAGTATTATTTTGATAGGAGTCATATTACACGCGTACTTCTTTTCTGTTGGCAAGAAAGTAGTGCATTGTAGAAAACAAGCGGCTAGTCTATAGTTTCCAGCCTTGGCCCCTTCGCGACGGCCAGTGACAGCCAGGAGCCACCTGCAAGACTCCACCCGGGATCTGAAGGTGGCAGGAGAGACGCGAAATGCTTGCTTGAAATGGAACAAGCCCAAACAGGGTAAGGTGTCTTCGAGCCACAGTTTGTTCCTCTGGAAACTCCACCGTTCTCGACTGGTCACGGGTAGGCTGTTGGTCATGAGAGCGGCTATGGTGAAGGCATTGACCTGCAGCTGTTGGTCGATGTCACTCGAACTTCTTGCCTTTGCGTCGGCATCCAGCTCCAGCCAGCTGCCTCTCTTCTGAAAGCCGTTGGGTTCTCACGAAGAAAGGTGCCCCCGCCACGCGCTTCCACTGTCCAAGATCGCAGATATCGCTGTCCAGCTCGTCCTCCACACACTGCATGATGTTTTGTTGTGGCGAGTGGCGAGTGGCCAAGTTGGCTCGCGGCGCCTCGTGCGCACCAGCTCGGAGCACCCGGAGCGAAAGCTCGTGCTGCAGAACCCAGAATCCTGAGTTCAATCCCCACCCCTGCCCGTATCGATCTGGATGAGCATCGTACCAACGTGCGGTCGTGTATCACTAATGTGTGGTGCACGTTAAAGACCCCAGGCTCGCGGTTGTATTGCACTGGCTAAATTGCTCATTTACAGCAGGGAGACAAGTCGCTCATACACATGCACACACCCCAGTATTTTTTTTTTTTGTTATGGCGAATGAAAGTGATGTCTAGATTTTGAACTTTCCTGGCTTGTAATGGCTGATCATAGCCATCAAATTTGAATTAATTCCGGATTAAAGCTCGTGACTTAGTGCAACAATGTGTGGTAACGTGTTTATAATAAAACGACGAAGTTATTTATGAAAATATGCGTATGCACTTTAATATCTTGAGTTACAATTACTTTAGCCATCGTCATTACCGTAATTTTGGAGTGACACGAAGTTTTCCCGTGTAGCACCGACACACTTCGAAATGTGTTTCGACGGGTTGAAGTGCACTCGCTTGGTGTGCGCTAAACCACCCCATCTGACAAAGGTATAACGTCTCTGCCGTCTTTCGTGCTTTGTCTTGTTTTAACTGATCTTTTGAACTTCGTCCGAAATGTGTTTTGTCTTGAATATGCGCTTGGTTTTGTCATGCTGATGTCTGCTTTGGGCTCTGAACCTTTTGACTGGTCTTGAAGTAACCCCTGTTGATTGGTCATTCCAACACTTTCTGATTGGTGGACGGGGTGACTCCAGAATGCTGCTGAACGCAATAGAAGCAGCTGCCAAGGGCCCGCAGAGGACTTGGCTCCCGGATACCATTCCCTGAACATCACCCTACCTCTGGAGTCCAACCTGCACGTCCAGCCCCCCTTCGGTTGTGGAGTCTTCCGCCCGCTGACATGCAGACTTGGGAACCCTTACGGCTGTGAAGGAGTTCGGCTCGCCCACCTTTGTGTGGATCTTTGTTTGTCGAGTTTGGCTTCAGTCGGGGTCCCCAATGAGGGTGTGTGTGGTCGAGGAAGACAGCAGGGAAAGTCGTCAGTTGTTAGGAGTATGTCTAAGTATTTTGTTTCCCAATATTGACAAATTGGCATATCTGTTGTAAAAGGTTTTACCTCCCATTCCCCTAATAAACAGTTGTGTTTGTAAATATCTGTATCGTTCATCAACGGATAACAGAGAACTTACTTTCGTCGTTACAATATCGTCCGCGTCTTTGCGTCTCCGGTTGGCACCTACGTATACTGCAAGCTGCACTAGAGGCTGCACCTCTAGTGCAGCCTCGAACTTCCCACGTACTTGAAGTCGCTCTAAAATTGACTAATTTAGGAGTTTTCGTTGACGCCCAGCAGTTACTAATCGGAACCGTATGTTTATTTTCACTAATTAAAACTTAATGAGTAAATTTGAGGTAATTAGCTAGATAATTAGTATGATTTCAACATCCCCGACGTCGGCTGTGGTTTGCAGTTTGGTCCCCGAATGAAGTTGTTTTTCTCAACCACCCTATTGGCAGGAATTAATGAAAGTTTCGGAGAAATACTCGGTACAGCTCACCAAAAACACCGGCCGCATGCTTCGGATTGCTGCGATTTTATTTGAAGTGTCACAGTGACAAGTAGAAGCTGTTTAATTTTACTTCAAGTTAGTTTTGTAAACGAAGATGAAGCAATAGGGAGTATTCACTGGACGCCATATTTGAGGGTGCTGTTTAGAGCGCATGATCAGAACGAGCTCACACCAATAGGCTGCTAAGACCGGCACTCTTGATGGTGCGGAATGCACGTTGCAAAAGAACTGTGGAAGCTCGCCGTCAGCACGCGCTCAGCATTCGCGCACACAGCTACCCTATTAAAAATCGCTCTGAGGGGACTTCAAGAATTCTTTAAAGGGTGTGAAGGGACTTTAGAAATTCTTGTGATGTTTGAAAGGTGCACCGATATTTCCTGGTGGGTTCGTTGGCCCCGTCAGAGGCTCTCCTAAAATGTCTGAAGTCCCCTTTACAATGCCTTGAAATGTCTGAAAGCCTGTCAAGAACTTTTCTAATGGGGTCGGGAAAACCTTCAGGCTTCTTGAGATGTCTGTGGGGACACGGCCTAGCTGGAGAAAATACATGTCGCAAAATTAGAACATAGCTACGTATTGTTCACAAAGGGAAAATAAATAATTATTTGGAGAATGTCGATTGCATGTGTGTACGGACAGTTTTTTATTACTGCTCTTCTATCAAACACAACTGGGCTCCACGACCCGTCTGTCACTGGCCGGGTGTTCGGTCGCCAAGGGGGCTACGGGTTCGATCGCCCCATGTGGAGAATTGACAAGGCGCGGGCCGAGTGTTTTTGGCCGAGCGGCGTTTTGAGGCGAACAAGCTTTACTTGTTGCACTAATAATAATAAAAAATTGCAAGCCGAGAGCAGCGCGTTGCCCAAATTCAGGGACGCTGGGGAGGCTCCGAGGGCGAAGCGGCAGCGACTCGTGCCGGGAACCGGTTTCCCTACGGGGGACGGTCCCCAAAAAAGGAAAAAAAAATATATAAACAAAACCATTTTGCTTTTCACCAGAGTCGGAAGTCCTCTCTTTTTCGTCGTTGCCAAAAACACGAAGAGGCAACTCAAATCCTCCCCCCCCCCCCCCTTTTACAATGCCTACACACACACACTGCACTTCTCTCCGCCCGGCAATGGGGAGAGGGTGCAATACCGCCAGTTCCGGACAGCACGCTTCTCCAATGGTCGGCGGGAGAGAGTGGTGTGAGGAAGCCGAAGAAGTCAGGAGGCCGCTATAGCCATTTTCTTCAGGGTTGCCAGGTTGGGTTATAAATAGCCAAATTGGGCTAGTTTTATTTGCAGTTGGCGGGAAAAAATGGCAGTTGGCTATTTGGCTAGTATTGGGCTATTTCTGACCCGTGCCGAGCACACCAAAATGCCTCAAAGCACTTGAATTTATAGCAGAAATCAGTGGTTTATAGGCTCAAATATGGCATTTTTAGAGTAAGTTACGTAAACATTTGGCACTGCAGTCTGTTAACCCTGATAAGTATGCGACAGCAAGCAAATTCGTCTGCTCTTTGCGCACCTTGTGCAATTGTTTACCCTCGAATTTTGTCGGAATGCCAGCGTGTGCTGTTTTTCCTACATCTCAACCAGTGACGGCGCAATTCCTTGCGGCCCCAACATCATCTCTTCTTCGCATTCCTCAGGTTGCCTGTTGATTGTCATGCACCTATACTTCTTGTTTAACTCTGCATAGTTTTCCCGTGACGTCATTCTGGTCACCATACCCCGATACGCCCGAAGCGTCCCATTAATACAGTGGAAAATATGTTGACATGCGCTCGTACGAGCGTTTCAGGAAGTTCGCCGAACGTGCAAGGGACGCCATTTCTGGGGCGTTTCGGCGCCATTGCAGAGCACACAACACAGTATTCGTTACTTATGTTCTAAAATTCTAAAGACTAAGGGCAAAAAAAATGGAACGATACGGGTCCCGTTTTGTCAGTAGTGATGCACCCGTGTTCTAGCCGTTGGTTCTACGAACTAGTGATGCTAGTTGTGTGAATATTTCTATTTGATGTATAAAAATGTATTATGTCGTCTTTTGTGTTTAAAACAAACGTATAAAATTGCCTGTTTTTTTTTTTGGCTATTTTTGGGCTATTTATTGGATCGACATTTGGCTAATTTTGGGCTATATCTCGTAGAAATTTGGCGGGTCAGAGTACAAGCACCTGGCAACCCTGATTTTCTTTCCGCTCGTGGGCGGTTTGTTTCTCACCGCCATGGAGATCTGGAACGGACCGGTTTCCTACATCCAGAAAGGTAAGCACTGCTTTGAGGGCTCGCCCCTTGGTCTGTTTTAACCCGTGCCGCTTCTTCCTTGGTTCCGCAGGTGAACCCCAGTTCGGCATTGGCCGCCTTCAGCACCACTCGAGCGCCATCGTGTTCAGCGCATTCAAGGAGATGGTGGCCGGTGTCGGCCTACTCGCAGCAAGCCTGACAGTCGGGATTAGCGTCCCACCGCATGTAGTGCCTTCGCACATAACACTGTGGGTCCTGGGACGGTGGATGACGGCCGCTGTCCCGCCTTGTTCCTTGCGGCTCTTCTTCCGACCGGCCTCAGAAGCATCCAGAGAGCGAAAAATACGCCGAAGACGCCGCCCCGACGACATCGTGCAAGAAACCGTGACTGTGCTCGGAATTTTTCAACGGTGACGGGATCTGCTTGCGAGTTCGTCGTTTTCGCTAAACGTGCTTACTGAGACTGTGTATGTGTACGTGAGCTGCACCTGCTCCGTTTTATTAGCTGAACCACCGTAGATCAGGAATTTCCCCAACGGCATTGTGAGTACTTTGAAAGATATTTTTCGTCGTGATAAAGAAGTTAGTTGTTCCTATTTGATATGATCTCTTTCGTCGACAGCTACTTGCGCCCGGGTTTGAACAAGCGTTGGTTTTTATCGTCTTTTTGAGTTTTAATACGCAAGTAAAACTCAATGTCCGCAATAAATTTTCAATAACGTTTTGAACTGAATTTTTGTCTATGGTTCACAGTCATTTGGGCGTCTAAAGGGTTGATGGCCTAAGGGGTTTGGGTTGAAGTGCTGTGGGGCTGGAGGGTTTTTTCTGAGGGGTATACCTGAAGGGCATTTTTGAAGGGTTTTGAAGGCCTCTGGAGGTCCCATAATCCTTCAAAGCTGATGGGCCCTTTAGAATTATTTTCAATAGGGTATGGCCGCCAGTGGATACTCCCCATAGACCGACCTCACCAAGCGTTCGGCGCATGCGTGACGCCGCCCTAACTTTGGTTCACAAGAAACTAACGGCCGTGCACGAGACGGCACGTGCGGTCTCGTGCTCCAGTCGCACAGAGCTCCAGCGGGGTTGTCGCACGTGCAGAAAGACTAAAGTTACACTGTACTAAAGTTCTTTCGATGCCTTGCGGCAGCGGTGGCGTAGTCAAACTGGATGGTGAGATTGATCTATTCGTTCCCCACAACGGACTTTGCTTTTTAGAGCGCAGCTCTTAGGGGCCCGTTTCCGGCTTGAGCGGCGTCGGCGACGGCGTAACCGCGAGGTCACGTGACCCCCCCGAGGCCACGTGACCCACCGAGGCCACGTGACCCACCGAGGTCACGTGACCCACCGAGGTCACGTGACCCCCTTAGGTTACGGGACCTAAGGGGGTCACGTGACCTCGGGTGTCACGGATCACGTGACTCCCGAGGCCACGTGACCCGTGACTCCCGAGGTCACGTGACCCCCTTGAGGTCATGTGACCCCTTCAGGTAACGTGACCCCCTCAGGTCACGTGACCCCCAGGTCACGTGACCCCTGAAGTCACGTGACCCCCCTGAGGTCACGTGACCTCAAGGAGTCACCTATCCCTCAGTACGCTTCCATCTTCCTCCTCAAGAGCTGCGCTCTAACCGGCGTTACAGGGAATTGTAAACGGCTTTCATTTTTTAGGTACTTTCCATGCACGGAGACAACTTTCTTTGGTAACAAAAACCAAAGCTGTGAGCGCCCGCGCGCTCGCGCACCTTGAGTGCCGATCTAAACGGTGCCCGTGCACTTTTCAGTTCTTCCCGAATTCTATGAAAAGTAGCCCCTCACTACGGAATAAAAACTCCATAAAAACGGCCATTTCAAGTGTTCTGCCACCCCGTGAATTCACTGTAGAGGTCGTTATTAAGAAATCATTATACTATAAGAAAACAAAACGAAAAAACCTGGAATCATTTTTACTTCTAAGATATTGTTGTATTTGCTTTAGTAATCTCCTCAAGGTCGTGGTACCTCCTTGTGCTAAGGTACACTTATAATATAGTCCAATATTACCATATTGCCGCGGGCAGGGCCGAGCACGAAACACTCGGTCACGGAATTCTAGAAGATTCGCGTTTTTTCGTACTCGGGGCGTAACATTTATCATTTCATCCCAGTTTCTTGTTCTCAAAAGCGCCTGTTCATTCTCAACCCCGAAAGCTCAATGCTCGAACCTTCCGGGCCGAATTTTCGCGATGCCGACGCACACCAGCTAAGGAGCTGCCCCTGACCTTGCCGAGTGACTCTCGCTCTCATTTGCTGTTACACCGCCAACCCGCCGCCCGCTCTTCCTGTTGTCTCGACGATCGATCTTTATTTTGTTTAGCACAAGTTCAGCCACATTAAACCTTTCGTTTGTTTATTTCACATCTCCCTTGTCATGTGGCGTGCGTGACAATGTATACCTTATTTTATGTCTTCTGTACCTATTACGCTAAACAAAAAGTAGAAACCGCTTCTTGCATATTCAAGGTAAGCGCTGTCGGACATCAGCTCTTGAGCTTGCGGTTTTCCAGCTACGTTCAGTCGCAAGTTTCAAGTTATTTGTTGATATGTGGGGGCATGGCTCTACCAGCGCCTCGCTTATACACCCTCCCAAAAAAAACCAAGACGAAGCGCGGAAATCAGAGTAGCCGTTTTTGGGGGCTAATTTGAAGCAATAACGGTTAAAAAAACTGTGGTTTAAAAAAGAAAGTCAACAGGGCAACATATAATGAACCAGCATAGCATCATTGTAAACCCGAGACTGGGGATACGGAGAAGGAAGGGCATATAATAATTTCCAATTCCTGTCGTAAAAACCATTATAAGACCGCGCGGTATCCCATGTCGGTCAATAAGTACTTTTATTCCGTCGTTTTAAGTGAAACTTAAAACCGAATTTATTTATTTTCATTTTGAAGTTGCGGGCACAGATAACTATTATACAGGTAGCGCTTTTTACAAAAGGTGATATTTATGAATAGCACCTAGCAATACGTGTCTCATTGTCAAACCTTACGAAGCGATATTTACCATCTTTAAGAATAAATGCTTGGTGTTTGCTCGTCTGGCTATATACTTAAGCAAGAAAATAAAACGTGACTGAGGGGGCAAGCGCACACCGCACGGCACACGACAAAATTTTCGAAGTTTGAATAATCTTTACTTCGGGGTACATATGTTCGGCAGACACTTTATTGTGACCTGGCTTAGTAAAATGGTCTCAAGTGACTGTACTGTGGCCATTTGTTGTGACTATCTCGTATGGCACGATTCCTGGAAGGGCGCGGCTTTCGAGGAGACACCGGGAGGGGAAAAGGCTCGAAATCGAACTCGCTGGTTTCATCCACCATTTCGTCCATATCTGAGTCAAATTTACTGAATCCGCGCTTCGTTCTTTTAGTCCGAAACCTCACCCAGGGGTCGTCCAAGTAGGTTGCGAGTCGGACAGTTTTCTCGAACTCGCGTTCCTTTAGAACTTCTCTTACACGGTTTGGGTAGTTCGTGATGATAGCGTCCACACCCTTCCTGTAAAGAAACGTGCAAAAATAAAAATATTACACACCTTGTAAACAGGGTGGAGCAACGATATTCAATTGGAATAGTTTGTTTCACTTTACACGAGTCCACTGGCACTAGTGGGACCCAACTGTACTCCCCGCAACGCCATTGTCCAATAAACGTCTTTGTTGCGGTGTAATTTCAAGGATAAAAGCGAGCGTCTCCTTTCAATCTCTCCCTCGCAAAACTCGATGACGTAGTCTGGATCGCAGTATCCCCCAGGGACGGTATTTGAATGCGGCTCATAGATTGGACTCGAGCGTTGTGCGAGCACTCCATTTAGGCTCGTGATAATCAATAGCTCGACAGGCATTCCAGTAGTGGCTCGTGTTTAATCGCGGCAATGACGACAATAGCCGAACCCTAACAATGTCTGAAACTCTGCGCGTGTCCTGTGCTTTGCCAACCTCAGCGCGTGATTATGAACGAAACGACATTGGCGGCCTATAATCACTCCAGATCACGTGGCGGCATGTTCTGGCTGCAAGTTGAGGGGGCGAAAACTGCTCGTTTTTCCTTTTCTTTTTTTCTTCGACGTTCATTGCGTGGGAATAAAAACGAGCGCGTCTTTGATTGGTCATAAACGTCAGGGATTCGTTCTCAGCGGTATTCTCGCAAAGTACAAGAATTGTTGCACCGCCTTTTTAAAGCGCATATGACCTGAATAAGTTTTCCTGGTACAGCTGATAACTTCCAGTTACACTTTGATCTATCGATCTAACGGGCACATTCAAAATTGCCGCGTCTTTTCAAAAGCGTCGCCAAGCAATACTAGCGAAAAGACAAAGCCTTCTTTCTTGTCTCGCGAACGCAATCACTAGTTAGGTTTGGAAAGAATGTAATTTTGCATTAAAAACACGCACAGACACTTCGCGGGGCTGTACCTGTATGCCAAATCTGTGTACGGAACTCCTAAGGCTGAATATAACAGATCAACTTTCAGATGAGAGTTACTGCTCTCGTGGCTGGGTAGACCTCAAGGCATCTAGAATTGAGGTGTTCCCACTATATCTTTTCAATCAAAACCAATGAGAGCTCGGCGTCGTGCTGACGTCACCGCAACTCCTGCGCAAAAAGCAGACGACTTGCTCTCCACGTAATTTCAAGTTACTAGAGCTATAGGAACTTGGTGCGGATCAGAATGTGCCTAAGTTGGTGCCCGCTGGAGCGAAACCGTGTAGGAGACAAGGCCTGTACGTGCCGTCATAGTTAGTGGGCCTCCGACCCGCGCCAAGCGGCAAACACCCTGAAGCTCGACGAGAGTCAAAGCAAGGGGGCAGGCGTCCGTCTTGGCGTCGCAGCCGGCTAGCGTCGCGCTCGTTGGGAGACGCTGCGAGACGCGTTGGCGGTGGTGCTGACGCAACCTCTGGATCGCAGTGCGTCGATCTACTAGTGGTGACGCTTTTTGGAGGGAGGGAGGGAGGGGGGGAGGGGGGTCACGGGCTTTGTTTTCCAGATTGTATTGGCTGAAGAAGACACGTTAGGCCATGCTGCACAGGGTAAGAATATGATACCATGGTGCCTGTGCATTCCAGAACATCTCTTATTGTTGTTCGCTGCCACCTGTACACGCATGTGCTCCTGTTAGTGACTATTCGAAAATTCGTCTCATTTGCGCCAAACCAGCTTAGAATAATAATAATGATAATAATAAAGATCCCAAGAAGTTGCTTAGGGTCCAAAGTAAGTCTACGTCACTTTATGTGAATCTTTGAACGCTCAAAGCCTTGGTGTAAATCATTATATTACAGAGCGCAGCTCATAGGCGCCCGTTTTCGGCTTGAGCGTCGTCGTCGCCGTCGGCGAGACCACGCGTTGCATTATGGGACGTGTCTTATAATGACGTCACACGTGACGTAACTTTTGACTTCACGAAAGTAACGTGACCCGCGCGTTGCATTACGGTACCTTTCCCAAAATGAAGTAGCACGTGACGTCACGTGTGACGTCACTAGGGTCACGTGACACGCGTGTTGCATTATAGGACGTTTCCCATAATCACGTCACACGTGACGTCACGGAGAAGGGGACGAGGAGGAAAGGTGGAGGGGAGGAGGAGAGGAGGAGGGGGTAGGAGGAAAAAGGTTAGAAAAGAGGAGGAGAGGAGGGGAGGAGGGGCATACCCTCCCCTCCACCTCCTCAAGATCTGCGCGCTAATTCGGCGTTAAGGGCCACCCACACTAGCGAGAAAACGCGCCCGGCGCGCCGATAAATCGGTTAAGCGGGAAGATAAAGGGCGTGTCTCTGCACGCGCTCATGGCGCTGACTGTGCTTCGGCGACATTTTGTTACTTGCCGCGATCGGCGTGCCACGCGCGTTTTCTCGCTAGTGTGGGCGGCCCTTTACACAGAATTGCAAACGTTTTTCATTTTTTTGTTATTCTTTCATGAAATTCATTTTTTTGTTATTCTTTTTATGAAACGAAGAAGTACACTTTAGCTGACTTTTTTTAGTGTAGTTTCTTTTTTAGCGGTTGGCGCGTTAGTGTAAACTTTTGAGGTGTGCATTGAGATTCTCAAGCATTTTATGCGCTCCAGCTCATGCGCCAGTTCGGACCAAAATTTAAAAAAAAAGAGTTAGATGTAGAAGTTATAACGTATAATTAACAGCACGTAAGAAGCAGGGATTGAGATGAACGAACATTCAAGACAAACAAAGGGCAACGAAAGGTTGTCACCACTGAAACTATAGAAATTTATTGTACTCAAAGCGCACAATCAAATATGGCTGTACTTAAAATGTTATTGGCGTGTAATGTATATTACGTAATCCTCTCCCGCTGGAGTAAATAGCAACTCCTCAATAATTTGAAGCCGAAATATAGCCCAACGATACTTCGAATGTACTTTGTGCCGTCTGATACTTTTTGACTTAATTTTGTTGTTAAATAAACACCTGGAATGCCACTTATAAAGAAAGACGTTATATAGACAACAAACTTATAAACGTGACCGGAGGTCTTTTCCAAGTTGACATTACCCGCATAAAAGTTGAACATAGGAGGAACGTAAATATATATTAAAACAAAATCATATCTCCTCACCGGATAACTTTCCGTATGGTTTTTTTCTTGTCTATGGTCCAGTAGTAGACCTTGTCGATGTACTTGTTGCTATCTCTGTATGAAATCGCTTTCATCAGTCGCTTATATGACCAGACGAACTTGCAGTTCGTGATACCGTCGCCTTGCCAGCGATTCCTATAAACACCGAGTCTTTCGTACATTTTAGCGATGTCCTCAAGCTTGTCGTTCATACCCACATCAAATCCTGCAAAGAGGTTTTGTCGGGCGTCGGTAACACTCAAATGGAGAAGGCGGTATAGAATATTACCGAAGAGAAAGCGAAGAGCACACACAGGCGCGGGCATTTCGATTGCCTAAAACTATTTTGAAGGTTTTCGCTGTACCTGCGAGATCAAATTTCCATTCTATGCTACGAGACACGGTAGCTTCTATAATTGTCAAAATTGTGTTAAGGGCTGGCTTACACACTTGCGACTGCTTAAAACTGCGTACCTTCAGACCTATCATTATCTTTCACAACGAGATTTTACTACAAGGTCACCTAGAGATGGCGCCAGCGTGCCAGTGTGTCCTCTCGTCGAAAGAGATCACAAGAATTCGGTCCTAGGCAAACGCATGCGTGTGAACGGGTCTTACGCTAATGGTAAAAAAATGGCGAGTAAAAAAAAAAAAATATATATATATATATATATATATATATATATAAAACTGAGAAGAAAAAAACCCTTAGTGAAAAACAGCAACAACGGACGATTTAATCTTCGACGTTTCGGCCGGAGTCCGGCCTTCGTCAGGAAGACTATATGATATGTATATAGTGTATATGTATATGTATATTGAGTAAAGATTGACAAGTGCAGCCGTAGTAATATTGAGAACGAAGAGGGGAAAAGGTGATTATTGAATTTATTGCATTAAAGTTAGGGAAAGGGAAAGGGAAGAGAGCTGGCGAAAAATTGGGCCAGGAGCGGGGATTGAACCCGCAACCTTCGCCTCGGGGCGACGCCTTAACCGATTAGACCATCCTGGCCACTGGTTTCGGCGGACTCAATTTCTGACCAGCTCTCTGTGTACTGTTTAGTTTCGAATTCGCTTAACTGGGTAGACGACAACCGTTGCTGATTTAAGGCCCGCGCTATTTTCGACATGCGGCAGTGACGTGACACGTCATCTCAGCTTGCAAATCTCGGAAAGGGCCCGTCTTCCAGGGTATCTAGGGAACCACTCCTCCCCATAGGGACAGGCTGCACCGTATATATAATGGGATTGAGAAAAGATTGACAAGTGCAGCCGTAGTAATATTGAGAACGAAGAGGGGAGAAGGTGATTATTGAATTTATTGCATTAAAGTTAGGGAAAGGGAAAGGGAAGAGAGCTGGCGTGCATGCATATATATATATATATATATATATATATATATATATATATATATATATATATATACATGCACGTAGGCTGGAAGGCTTCAAGGGGAATATTATAGATAGCGTCATTGTTTCAGCGCGTTCTCTAGAGAAAGAAGTGTAAAAGAACTTGTTTTGGGGCTAGTTGGTGTAGACTGCACTGAACCATGGTTAAAAGCGCTACAAAGACCCACACAAGATAGAAGACAAACACGGGCGCTACACACAACTGTATTGGGAAATGAAGATGGAAGTACATATATATATCTGATACACTTATTGTCACCCAGGCTACACATGCGCGAGATACAAGAGATACATGACAGGGCTCGTTTGCCCGCGCACTGTAGAGCCTGCGAATGCGAGCCACGCTTCGGCGATACCAAGATTATTGGTAGAAGCAGAATATTCGAAGAGCACGGGAACTGCAAGAGGCATATTTTATCAAGAAGAGGGGACCCCAGTGCGTCAGCGACACGCCAATAGCATTGTATATTGCTGAGTTCGTTCCTTCGATAAATACTTGTAAACGGGTTTATGCTTTTCTATCTCGCGCATGTGTAGCCTGGCTGAAGATAAGTATATATATATATGTACTTCCATCTTCATTTCCCAATACAGTTGTGAGTAGCGCCCGTGTTTGTTTTATATCTTGGGTACGTCTCTTTAGCGCTTTTAGCCATGGTTTATTACAGTTTTTTAGAGAGCTTCTATTACACAGTGTCTAACTGCTCGATCGGGGTGATGTGGTCCATGGGCCGCGTTCGCAATACGAGCTGCGAGGAGGTCACGAACGCGTTGTTGGTTAGCGAGCGTCTCTGTCTGTTAGGGGTTGCTGCCATATAGGGTGGGCTGAGCGTTACTTTTTTTTCTTCGTTTGAGAAAGATAATGTATTGTTGTGTTACGTAAGTCCTCCTGCATACAAACAAAAAAAAAAAGACGTTTAATTATTATTGTCTTGTTTACTTTGTTCGAAACCCTAAAAACAGGCTTTTGACAGCTTATTGCTTCCGTCATTTTGGAGTACACAAATGCTTTGGAGTGCTCTGGTTTCCGTTACACAAGCAAGGCAAAGCGCTCGTAGTTTCCGCCCTCAGTACACGTTGAACATCTTCCACACTTTGACACCGGATAACTGGATGAACGAGGATTTACATTTACTTCGGAGATCGCTCTTGCCGCGTCCTCACCGTCGAGCAGCCGGATCAGCTGGCGACCAGCCGCGGATGAATGGCTTGAGCATCGACAGCACAAGTGCACTCGGTGCCGATGCGGGCGATGCGGGCTTCTGTCAACCGGTAGCCCAGCAGAAACCATGAACGTTCCAGATCTTCGTCATGACACGGTGTTGCCGAGATCAGGCTAAAATAGCACTATACGGACCACCGAAGCAAACGCACAGTTATCGTAAATCTTCGCTTGTGATTGCGCTTTTGTAGATCATCTTATCCGTTTTGCTGGAGAGACGCAAACGATGGGCATAACAAAATCGCTTGCATATTCCGCATACCTCGCAAACGCATTTATCCAGTCACCTTGCGAAAAGCGCGAAACACGGAGTCCGCACCGTCCTGACTTCCCCGTATTTTACCGGTTTTAGAGTAATTCGTACCTGCTAGTAGGTGTGCCTACTGAAACTGCAACTTGAAACTAGGCGTAGTGCCAGAAAGAAAAAAGACAGAGTTGGGAAAGCTTGCTCGCTCTTCCTAATTTCTCAACTTTCCAGTGATTGTACCATAATAAATGCACCAATGGCTCTTCCCAAAATAAAGAAAAAGCGAAATGTTCACTACGTAAAAAATGATCTAAGCTCATGCATGTGTGGTCAGGGAGGAAATTTTGCCCGAATGTATTCACACCGCCTGATGAGCGCCACAGACTCACACGAGATTTACGGGAAAATATCGGTGGTGACTTAAGTTTCCCTGAAATTCTGTATAACCGGTCGTTTGCAGGACCGAATCATCTACTCGAGCGGCGTGCATCGCTGTGCGAACACGTCGCTGTGCCAACGCAGTCCATCAACACGGAGCATAAAAACTGCAGATTTGGGACAACAATCCGGAGTCCATTGTTCAATTAAAACGACGCAAGTTTGTTAAAACACCTGCCGCTTTTTACTCACATTATCCGTCGGAATCGTTCACATTTTGAAACGAAGCGAAGTAAGATTCAATTTTAAAGACGCTCGCTGTGTCCTCCCGGAGCAGCTGGACCGGATCGGCTGACGACGATGGGACTGAACCCGTTGAACCTTAACCCCACAACAACCAATTCGTGCTCTGTGTTAGTGTAGGTTTCTACCTCAAAGCACCAGACCACACACCACGAACGTTTCAGATCTTTGCCGCATCGACGTGTTGCATCAAACAGAACGAGATAGCCAAAGTCAAAGCAGCGCTGTCGTGAACCTTGTCTTGTCGTTGCCCACTCGTGGACCCTGTGACTCCCTTCGCTTTCAAAGCACACACGACTATTACGAATAATACTTTCCGTCTTCCGGGAACATTACAGGGGCACTTCTCCGGTCACGTCTTCGCTGCATGTGCTCGCAAACCGCGGAGCTTCTCGCGTCGCGTCAAACAACAACAATACCGGCACCATGTTGAACGTGCGTTGTTGTCAGAGTTTCTCCGACGAAACAAAAACAACGAAAGCCAACCGGCTCTAGCTTCCAGCGTACATAGAAGTTACGCCGTGGCCAGATTTTCTTCGTCAGCTCTATATTAAAGATGACCTACAGATGCAGCAACACTGGAGTAAAGTTTTGATATGGCGGCCAGCATGGAGCGCCGTAGATTCCGAAGAGGTTGCAGGGAAAGCGGCGACACCTTCATCCCCCTGCTGTCTGTACTGCTTTCCACCTCGCCACGCGGCAATGCTACGCATCCGCTTTATCGACCAATCGGGCTCGGGAGACGCCGTCCACCATTAGATTGCATGCAAACGCTCCCCGTGGTTTGAGATGGATCCTTTCCACAATCTAGGCTCTCCATAGTATTCTCTCGCCGAAAGTGGTTACCAGCGGCCATAATCAATACCACCTAGAATAATGAAGTGCTTCGAACGCCCCACTGTTCCTCACATAAAAGGTCATCACAGTTGGATGATGGCGACAACTCAGCAATTGGACACGAGCCCAATGCCAAGCGCCCTACGCGTTGATTGGACACTACCATGTTAGCAAGTACCGTGTATTTAGTGAATATTTGAGGTGAAAAGCACGCGATTTACACAAATTACCATAAATTTACACGTTGAGTAATGGACAATTCGTTCAAGAATCATGCGAGGTTGTAAAAAACGTGTTTTGGTTTGGTCATACACGCATAGCCGTGTAGCCGACCTCAAAAACGCGCATCACCCCCGACGACGACCGCAACACTGCCGGCTATCGAAGCACCGGAATGCTTGGGGACACACCTATACTCCGCGACAACTTTTCTTGGCAATGCAGTGGAAGGTAAAGGCCAGCGTCCCCTCTCCCATTTTGAGTGTACGCAGGCTCTCCTCCTCCCCCATTTCCGGGGAGTGGAGGAGAGCCCGCGCACACTCAAAATCAGAGGGGGGACGCGGGCCTGTACCTTCCACTTCATTGCCAAGAAAAGTTGTCGCGGAGTATAGAAAGGACCGTCGAGACAAATGCCGCGGAAAGAAACATGTCTCGGAGACAGATATGCACCAAAAGCATTTACGCCATGTCGCGGGACGGGGCGAACACCGCCCTTACCGCGCTCGCTGCCATTCCTGCCATTGATTCTGGCCGATGGCAATGCGGCTTCCCTCTTGTCGCCCATGTTTGTTTTTATTTTATAGGTCTTGATAATAGTTTCTTACACACGGCAAATAAAGTTATGGGTCTAATTACTCGTCCTAAACAGTTAAAGTGGATATACAAAACGTGCCCCCCTCGATCTGAACACGTGATACTGCAATTGATTTCGTTTTGGCTTCAACCCTTCAACTGCAAGCTAAGGTGCCGCCGCTTCTTATGCTCCCTCCTCAGAATTTACGGCGATCCGTGGTGGCCGCCATATTAAAACTTTATACCAGTTGCTGTATCTGTTGGTCATCTTTAAGTTAGAGCTGACAGAGAAAATCTGGCATCGGCGCAACGCCGATGTACGCTGGAAGCTAGAGCCGGTTTGCTTTCGTTGCTTTGTTTGGTCGGAGAAAATCTGGCAACAAGGCACGTTTAGCATGGCGCAGGTATTGTTTTGGTTTGTCGGGACGCTAGAAGCTCGTAGGCACATGTTGCGAAGACGTGACCGAAGAAGTGCCCCTGTGATATTCCCAGAAGACGGAAAGTATCAATCGTAATCGTCGTGTGTGCTTTGAAAGCGAAGGAAGTCACAGGGTCCACGAGTGTGCAATTCTGTTTATTGAACAAGTTCAATACATTCGCTTTTTGAGGAAGCTTAACCTAAAGTATGAACGGCTCTGCATCATGCCCTCACTGTGTATTTCGCCGCAAACATAAAAACCATAAAACACACTTCATCATTATACAATATTTAACAAATACATACATATCTATATAAAATCTAAAGTCCACATTTCTAGCAATCTTCAAATCCGTCATAAATACATCAAACACTGCGATTGGTCCCACGCATAAAATGATAAAAACAACTGAGCGTTCCCCGTAGGACCTCCAGTGTCAGGGATGAAACATTCCGCTTTGAAAATCCAAGGGATAACAGAAAATCAGCAGACCTGGGACAAACTAGTCCTCTTTCAGTTGCTGTTACGGCATGGACCGTCACGGAGGACACCGAGAGAGACAATTTAATAGCCCTAATAAAGGCTTCACCAGAATATTTACGTATCTTATCCTCATTCAAAGTGCTCGGTGCTTGGAGGTAGAAACCCACACTAACACGGACGCAAATTGGTTGTTGTGGGGTGGAGGCCCAACGGGTTCAGTCCCGTCGTCTTCAGCTGATCCGATCCAGCTGGTCTGGGAGGACGCAGCGAGCGCTTTTAAAAGTAAATCTTCCATCGTTTCGTTTCAAATTGTGGAAGCATCTCGACGCATACCGTGAGTAAGAAAATGCGGGCGAGTAAGAAGCTGCGGGCGTTTTTAACAAAACTACGTCGTTTTAATTGAATAATGGACTCCGGATTGTTGTCCTGAATCTGACGTCTTTGTGCTTTGTGTTGGACTGCGTTTGCACAGCGACGCACACCGCTCGTGTAGATGATTCGGTCCTGCAAACGACCGGTTATACAGAAATACAGGGAAACTTAAGTCACCACCGATATTTTCCTGCAAATCGCGTGCGAGTTTGTTGCGCTGATCATGCGGCGTGAATAAATTAGGGCAAGATTTCCTACCTGCCCACAGGTGCATGTAGTGAGACCATTTTTGACGTAGTGAACGTAGGGGATTTTCTTTATTTTGGGAAGAGGCGTTGGTGCATTTATTATGGTACAATCACTTGAGAGGCGAGACATTGGAGAGAGCAAGCAAGCTTTCCCAACTTTGTCTCTTTCTCTCTGTCACTGCCCTGTTTCAGTTTCAGTAGGCATATGTAGCTACTAGCAGGTACAAACTGCTCTAAAGCAGGTGAAGGACAGGGGAAGCTTAGGACGGTGCGGACTCCGTGTTTCGCGCTTTTCGCAAGGTGACTGAGTAAATGCTTTTGCGAGGTATCCGGAATATGCAAGCGATTTTGTTACGCACGTCGTTTGCGTCTCTCCAGCAAAACGAATAAGATGATCTACAAATGCGCAATCGCAAGCCAAGATTTACGATAGCAGTGCGTTTGCTTCGGTAGTTCGTGTAGTTGTATTTTACCCTGCTCTCGGCAACACTGTGTCATGAAAAAGAGCTGAAACGGTCACCGGTCTGTGCTAGCCTCCCGGTTGGCAGAAAAACGCATCGCCCGCATCGGCACCGAGTGCGCTTGAGCTGTTGATGCTCAAGCCTTTCATCCGAGGCTTGTCGCCAGCTGATCCTGCTGCTCGACGGTGAGGAAGCGGCAAGAGTGACCTCTGAAGTGAATGTAAATCCTCGTTCGTTCAGTTATCCGGTGTCAAAGTGCGGAATATGTCCAACGTGTACTGAGGGCGGGAACTAAGAAAGTTTCGCCTTGCTTTTATAACCGAAACCAGAGCAACGATATAACTGCCTTGCGTACTCCAAAATGACGGAAGCATGAAGTTTAAAGAGGTCGAGTACGTCACCGGGGATGTAGGCGAGACGATGCACACTGTTTAAACGCTTGTAGTACCCATTAGTGGTACCAGGAAAGCGACGTCAACAGAGAAGGAGTACGCGATTCAGCATAATGCAGTGCTACGGGCCCGTGTATCTTCAACGTTCAGGGTGGTGGCAGTATAAAAAAAGACGCATCAGCGCCCCACAGCAGTTTTCACGAATAACACCAGTCACAAACTGGGCGTGCTATTTATGCTAACAGTGTAGGCCCAGCCGAACCCTGACGCAGTGACGCAGCCGAACTCTGACCAATCAGTGTATTCGCCCGATCTCACTGTGAGGACGTCACCACTACGTTGCGCAGGCTTCGATTGTTCCAGGTGGTGTTATTGGCACGACGTCGGACATCATTCAAACACAAAATCTCTCAGCCAGTCTTAAGCGTGCACTCACGTGCGCACCGCTCGAATTAAGCGAAGCTAAGCTTAACCTATATTATAGGTTTTAATTTCACAACCCCATGATTTTGAGAAGTCGGACGCATTCACATTGACACTGATTTAAGGTGAGATTCAACTAGACTCGTTGCCACATCACACACACAAAAAAGACCTTTTTTGCATTATTTACGCATTTTTTGCATTATTTACGCATTTTGCAAAGAAGTTCTTGTAAGACTTCGTTGTCGAAGGAAGAGGCGATGCTTGTGGCGCTCGAAAAGAGTACGTCTTGATAAAGTAACACAAACCTAGTTTAAAATGCACCTGCTGATATATTAGCTCAACACATGACGGAGAAAATGTGTGACGTTCCGCGAGGAGCCGGACTACTTTTTTGTACCGTTCTTGAGGGGAATATGAGTATCGCCGCGTTAAAGCGTGATGGGAATGAGAATGGAGGATGTCGTAGTTTTGATTCTATTTTTATATATAGCAGTTAGGAGGAAAAGCAGACTCACCGACATAGTTGAACAGAGACAGGTGGGGGTCTGAAAATTTTATAGTGTCAATGGCTCCAGTAAGTACTTTCTCGTCGGTTGTATGGCCGATGGACAGCACCACCCTCATTCTGTATAACTGTACTAGAAAAGCGAGAAAGACGATGAACACCCAGGTCAGCGTCTGATTGAACAGGAAAAGAAGCGGCGTGCGGTGCGACAAACGGGTATACACGGGGCGCCATATGGTTGGTCGTTATTCGCAGCAGGGCTTGCACTGAACGAGAGTCAGTGGCATTTTAAGAAACGCTGGGCGGGCTAGTTCCGAACCTCTCGTTGTCTTTCTGCGGCCAATGAGCTCGAGCTGTGAAGGACGGCGTAATATGCCGTCCCACGAATGGGCACCCTGCGTCCGCTAAGAGCTGCTACCGACCGCCCAGGGAACAGCGCCACGCGCGGCCACTTTTGAGTCAGCGTAGGGAGAGCAGTACAGCTCCGCCGCCGCTCACGCTGCTTCCGCCTATGTTGTAGCTCAAACAGGCATGTCGACCTTGCAACATCCGCCGGTGTACCACTTGCAGTTGAGCTGCGAATGCTGCGACTGCCGGGGTCGCTTCCCGATGAGTGCGCGCGACGCTGCCTCGAGAGGCGCGCGTATCGGCACTGATTAGTTAGATCTGCAGTGTGCCCAGACCCTTTATTGTGGACATTTAAAAATATCGCCGTTTCCGGACACTTTCGCCATGTATAAGTAAGAACGGGAAAGTTCTTACGGTGTTCTGCTAAATTACAACTAAGCCATGTGTTCCAGGTGAACCTGCCCTTCCAGCTGTGACATCATTGTTATTTTGCGAGTTATTTATAAGATAGATAATTAAATATTTTATACCAGTAGTGCTCGATATGACTCCATTCACGTGTACACTGTAAAATTTTGTGCGTCTACTTTCATGCACAACCCTCGGAGAGCCAATCACCGCAACTTACGGAGGCAGCTCAGCGAATGGCAATGCCGAAACACATGTTTAGACCAAAAAACGCAGTCTGAGTTGTGACACAAAGCAATGCAAAACGTCACGCTTGCTTTGCTTAATGTCACAACTCAGACTGCGTTTTTTGGTCTAAACAAGTGTTTCGGCATTGTCATTCGCTGAGCTCCCTCCGTAAGTTGCGGTGATTGGCTCCCCGAGTGTTGTGCGGGAAAGCAGACGCACAAGCTTTTTTTAGAATGTATCTTCATTGCCGTGAATTGCCTTGTTCGACTACATACACTTCGATCCTCCGAAGAGCGCGCCATCCAAGAGGTCCAATACATTTTTTTAACACTAGCTGAAGTAATGTGTCTTTGAGGCACTTCATTCTTCACCAACGTTGAACCAGGACAGACGACAAGTTCGCACATATTTCGTACGCCAAACCAGTCAGGTCATCTTGGTACACCAATACCAACTTGCGCAATAGTCCATTTCTGAGAACAACACTATTCTACGATGATTCAGGCTATCTCACAGATGACCCAGCGAAAGACCAAACCAGCTACCACAGGCATGGATGTTAGTGAACAGTTTATTTTCGCCATCCCAACTCTTGATCGATTATTTAAAAAAAAAATGAAAGCCGTTTACAACTTCCTGTAACGCCGAATTAGAGTGCAGCTCTTATGGAAGAGGAGGAAAGGGTAGTGAGAGGAGGGTATGCACCTCCTCCTCAACTCCTCATCCTACCTTCTTCTCCCTCCGAGCGGCGTCGGCGTTACCTCGGCGTAACCGTGAGGTCACGTGGCCCTCGTGACGTAGCGTGACCCTCGTGACCTCACGGGGGGCACGTGACCCTGCGAGGACATTTTTGCACGGTGCCAAAACCAGAGTTTCGAACCGAAATTTTTATCTGTGGTTCCGGTTCGGGTTCACGGCTTTCGGTTGAGTTCCGGTTCAGTTCCGGGGAGCAAAAAGCAACGGTTCGAACCAGTTTCAACCGCTATTTTAACAATATATTTTCCAGGATCTTTTGGCATAGGCAGTATTTCAACAGTGTAACGTGTAGTTATATAGCATTTTATGATTCGTAGAATCTACTTTTATTTTCAGATACCAAAAATCAATTGCGTTATTGAATTTCGTTGAAACAGTAAAAGAAAAGCTAGATTTAAATATATGACTCAATATCTGTTTTCTTTACCTCGGTCGCATGTATTTTACCTGAATCGAACGGTTATCAGTCTGGTAGGTCGCCTAAAATACCTGTAATTGGTAGAACTTTGCCGCGCAGTTTAAAAATAGAATCCTGTTGAGCTCTCGAATAAAGAATTAATTACACGGCATAAAATCATGAAATGGGCACGTCCTCGCCATATATATACAGAAATCTTGTTTATAAAATTAATTTTACAATATACATGATGACGACACGACTGAGCTAAAAGCAATAATATATTCAAAATCTCAGGACAGCTTTAGGACAAACCCTTTCAGTCTACCTTTTACAGAAACACTGAGCGGCAATCAAAGCGCTTGCTTACCTGACCAATATTATTTACGCTAAGCACCGTGATGCACACGGATAATCATGCTGATGAGAGTGACCTTTGTACCCAAATCGTATCTGGCCTAAAATAGCGCGTTCCGAAGTCAACAATTTCGACATAGCTTGGTGTAGTGTTTTCAAATTCTTCTACTTCCTCGTCCAATCGAAGTTGATGGCACGACTGTGCGCCCTGGGAAATAAAAGAAAAAGAGAAAAAAAGAGGGAACACGAGAAAAAAGGATTCGAGACAGATTCTGCCTGACAGTTCGGGTGTCCTGTGTGATTCTCTCGTTCGGGTTGAGCTCGGTCGACTCAACTGGCTATCGCCGGCAGAACTTCAAATGAGGTGAGCGGGCTTGGAGCAACCTGCCATAGGCTACGTCGGGATGAACACTCGGCCCAACGACGTACGCCCATCGAAGATTCACCTCGCAAAATACAAAATGGCGACGAGGATGGGATACTTGCTTAATTCGATACAGTTCCAAGTCTTGTTCCGTCTTCTGGGTAGTGGCCTGTTGCTGTAAGCACTTTAGGCTTTCATTGAACTGTCGTCGTTATGGCTATGGCGGCGCTTCCCCCTCCTGCGCCTTTCCTTGCTGTCCCTGGTTTGCCGTTGCAGGCTTGGCCGTCTTGAAAGCAAGCATTCCTGTCGTTTCTTGGCGCTTCTGGGTTAGACGATGTTGCGCCGAAGCGCAAGAAGCAAATTCTGTTTTTGTTGCTAGGCGTCGAGGGTCAGCGGATTGTGACCGCTTTTCGTCTTGATGCTGAGCCGGTTGCTGAAGGCGTAAATGAATTCGACGCATTTCTGAGCGCGTTAGAGAAACACTTCGAGTTTTCGGGGTGCATTGTGTTGGAGCGGAAGAAGTTGCGCGCGCGAGTTCAATTGCCCGGCGAGACGTTCTTGGAATTCCTTGCGGCCCTGCGCCATCAAGGTTCGTTCTGCGGGTACGGCAACACTCTTGATGAGCACCTTTGTGAAACGTTTTTGGAAGGACTCCAGTCGAAGCGAGTGCAAGATCGCATTCTCCGTGAGTGTGTGGGCACCGACGTGCCAACTCTCGAGCGCGCAGTTCAGCTAGCAAGGGAGTTTGAACAGCTGGCGCGGGTTTCTGGCGAGTTTAACCAACGGCTAATGCCTGCTACCCCAACGACGAACCTGCCTGTCGAGTACATCGAGGTTCCAGGTCCCTCGAGCGGTACCAGCCCACGAAGGCCTCGGCAAGATGGCCATCACACCTACCCGCCTGGATTCTCTTGGCCATCCCCGGCGGTCGCTCCTGGGATGTCCCGGAGGCCATTGACGGCCAGTCATGTACCACGCGCCCCAGTTCGAATGAGTGAACCACCGCAACGAGAACCTCCTCCCTATCGTCTCAGGGAGTGGGAAAGTGACGGCGAACACTGCTGGTTCTGCGGCCGGCGCTACCATCTCAGGGAGGTATGCCCAGCGCTACATTCGCAGTGTTTTCGCTGCACCAAGATGGGGCACTTCGCCGTTGTCTGCCGGAGTCGTCAATCTCCTCCAACGTCCTTCCGGCGAGATCAACGCCCGGCTGCATTTCCATCCCGGGCAAGAGGTCGCAACGCGGCGCGACAGTACAGCAGTCGTGCGTCGCCGAACAGTCCGGTCGAGGTTGTTGCAGAGGAGGACTACGACCCCCTGTACGATTACCAGTACAGCATAACAGCCGTGGACAACGCCGTTCCTGTATCAACCACGGAACAAAGAACCTTCAATCGATCCCGCATGAATGCTTTCATCGCGGACGTTAAGGTAAATGGACTTCCCTTACGCCTACTCATTGACACTGGTTCTCATGTCTCCATTCTAAACGAGAAGATTTTTCGTGAACTTGACCCTGATTGCAAGATCCGGCTGCATACGTCACTCAAGAGACTTGTGCATTACATGCAAGGGACAATCCCTGTCTTGGGGTGTTTTTTCGGTCAGACGGTTTTCAAGGACAGATATGCACGCCTCGAGTTTTACGTCATTTCAAGCGGACGTTCCTTGCTTGGTATCGACGCTGTGAGAGAGCTCAAGATTACTTTTGTCGGGTGCCGAAAATGAATGTGCACATGTTGATGCAGCTGACAAGGGGCGACCTGTCCAGCGAGATGTGAGACCCGTTGACGCCCAGCGGCGCGGCCCGTTCACAGCATCGTCGCGCCGCCAGCAGTCAACTGTTCAGGATCCGTTCGGGATTCCCTCGTCGGGTGCCAACGTTCCCCACCCACGTCCATCATCGGCAGGTGATGCAACGGGTCAACAGGCTGTCGGGAACCCTGGCTACCTATCGTCAGCCAGGCCGGTTTGCTTCCCGTCGAGCTCAACTTACCCTATACAAGGGAGCCATTATGAACGCAACTCCAGTACTTCAGCATCTCAGTGCCCAAATGCACATTCCGACGCAAGTCCCGCTGGTGTCCCTCTGCGTGACACGTCGAAGCTACCCCCGGGGTTTCAAGATTTTGAGTCTTTGTTCGGTCCCGAGTTGGGGTTGGTAAAAAATTACACCCACTCAGTCAAGGTGCGGCACAGCGTGCCGCCTGTACAATCTAAGCTTCGCCGAATTCCGTTCACGCTGCGAGATGCCGTTTCTCAAGACATTTTTAAG